TGCAACTCTGACCAAGTTAAAATCATCAACTTATTTATCTGAGAAATTAAAAGGTAAAATAGCCCTGTACAAATCAAAGTAACACCCAATCCCCACCCCACCACCCCTCTCCATCCCCAACCCCATCCCTCTCGTAATATGCCTTTGTTCCACAACCATTCCTTTAGACTTTCCACAGGAAAGTGTAACCTTAGCTCAGGAAGATTTCCTTAACCTGTGTCTTTTTCAATAATCCAATAATGAAAACTGAAATTTAGGAATATTCAATGAATCAAGTGATGTTGGTAAAACAAGGGCAATTTTCCTTAAATTAGGAAATGCTGATAAAACTCTAACAGGTCCATTCCCCCTGACACAATTTGTATCACCATCATAAAAGTTTAAAATGGCTATTGTAACAAGTATTTCTCTGATACTGCCGACACACTGCTGCATAAACTGTACATACAGGCCGATATACTTTAAGGTATGGGTCGGCTACAGCTACCCATACAATACAGACCCTATAGCCAGTAATTCATGCATGTTTCCCGCAAGATAATGATCTCAACTGTATATGACATATTTATCTAGCTGGAAAGATGTGTACGCGGAACTTCCCCCCACCGCAACCCCTACCTATATATTCTCCAGTGTAACGCCTTTGAAATATCCCTGTCCGCAGAAATAAAACCTTATACTTAGGTAATTGCAAATAAATTTGGAGAAAAAATTTAAATATCTGGCAAAAATTTGAACCCAGTGAAATCCTTCCCTCTGTTCCTCTTTAATCCAGCTGAATGGCATTTATATACTGTTAGCTGAAGCCAATTTTTAAGGGTATAAAAACGCATCCCCCTGCCTGAGCAGATGATTATGATAAAACTGTCATTTCACACACTTGTACAGGTCCTGATGTTAATCGGGGATAAAGCGCTGAGGAAATATATACTATGTCTTCCGTATGACATGTCTTGAACTTGTATCCGACTTTGGAATTTCGATATTCATGATACAGAATATCGCCTTGCTAGTCCTGTTGTGTTTTGACCCACAACATGTAAAGCCATAGCTTAATACTTCCACATTACTGACTAGTCAAAAAAGTGTCAAAACGAAGAAATGTCAGTAAGAAACTAAAGTTTTGTTGTAACAAGCTAACAGGCTAGTAGTTGTTAGACAATTTTTTGTATGAAATATGGTATATAACCCAACAAAACAGAATCAAGATAAATGAAACATTTATTTGAGTAAGTATTATAAATATGTTTTCAAGAAAATGAATGTTAACAAAAATATTTGAAATGTAAGTACAAAACTTTACTGATACATGATCCAATATTATTTCGTTGATATCACTCTGGTAATATAGGAGAAGCTGTTCAGAGTTTCTATTTGTTAATAAAGGGGCATAACTCTTTAAAAAGTGGAAGAAATGAAAACTTGAATTTGAATACAAGCCCACAACTATATGAGATACTGACCATAATTATGTACTAATTTCCATAGAAATCAGTCTGACCTTTTGGAATGGTTGTTTTGACAGGGGTTTTTTTCAAATAAAGGGGCATAACTCTTTAAAAAGTGGAAGAAATGAAAACTTGAATTTGAATACAAGCCCACAACTATATGAGATACTGACCATAATTATGTACTAATTTCCATAGAAATCAGTCTGACCTTTTGGAATGGTTGTTATGACAGGGTGTTTTTTTCAAATAAAGGGGCATAACTCTTTAAAAAGTGGAAGAAATGAAAACTTGAATTTGAATACAAGCCCACAACTATATGAGATACTGACCATGTGTTCTAAGTTTCACTAAAGTAATTTTGGTATTAAAGGAAAAATTAAAGAGATTTTTTTAACAAAGGGACATAACTCTCTTAAAAAGGAAGAAACAAAATTCAAAAAGCAGTATCTATATGATATATAATTATAATGTGTTAAAAGTTTCATCAAAATGGGTCAGGTACTTGAGAAACAGATAATCAAAACATTTTTGTCAACAGACAGAGACAGACATGATTTCAGCATCCCCCTCTACCAAATTCTTATAGGGTATAATATACATGAATCCTGAATTTCTTTTCCATCATTTTTCAGCAGTGTCAGGTTATGTTCATTATGCATAAGATAAAACCCATAATAGTCTGTCAACTGTCTATCTATATTTCCTACAAATTTCTCTCAGGTACTTCCTTCTATCCATCTTCTAAAATTGCTCAAACACTTTCCTGATCTCAGACCCACTTCAAAACCTTACATGCCATCTTTCTTCTATCTCCGTCTCAAACCTGTCCAAACACCTTTCAATCCACTTCCTGTCTCTCTCTCTCCTTATATCAACCCTACAAAGTCCAAACGTCTGATTCAATTAAAAAGTCGGATCAGTCTGACACTAACAATACCAGACAAAAATAATCTGAATCATTTACCATTTACTTTTACGTATCTATATCAAGTCGAAAAGTAAACTTTAATTCAGTATCAAAGCGATTCAAATTAGATCACTGGCCTTATCACAACAGTGACGATGCGTCTCGGACGGAGAACAGATATTTTAGGACTGGAAAATATGTGCTCAGCCCTCGCTGAACAGAAATCTGCCTCTCCAGCATTCGTGCACACTATCAATAACAGAGCGGCAACAGGTACGCTTAAAGTAGACAGGTATTTACTTTGGTGTGATAGCATGCAGGACGTTTTTTTTCGTTCTCGTGACAGAATTAGAAATTCCAGACTTCTCTATTAGTTCCACTTAATTCCTATTAGACCAGATTTAGACATATCTGGGAAACATCGTTTGTAAGGATACCATAAAGAACTGGAAAATTCTAACTTGCAATAAGAAACTTTGTTTCAGGATAAATGAAGAAATTTGCACTAAACAGGAGAAATTTGAACTGCCTTTTGCTAATTAAGTATTTTCCAAGTCATTATCAACAATTTCATTACAACCTGCATAGTCCTATACCCAGACATTTTCATATATCATAACCTGAGTTATCAGGACACCTGTCCATTACAGAATCTCCTGAACACTTTCCCAATGAGATTGCCTAGATACATAACCTGCAGTATCAGAACACCTGTCTACCAAGGACACTGGTGACAAATTTCCATATATACATCAATATAGAAGCTCTATAGTACTCTATAGCAGGCAGTTTTAAAACCTTTTATCACCAAACACCTTCTATATAATGAACCTGTTTATAAAGACATCGCTTATAAAAGAAAACTCTAAAATGACATTTGGCAGAACCCTTTCTAAATTAGAAAACTCCAAAAAGACACTTGGCAATGTATACAGTAACTTTCAGTTCAGTAAGCACTATTAAGGGTAGCATATGACATATTGACTGCATCATTTATTGTAAGGAAACATGTAAATAAAGGATATTTTCTTTATAGGTATTTCTAGATGATGTATCTGTATTATAAGAAACCTGTCTATAACGGACACCTCCAAAAGACATTCACAAGGATCATACTTTTATCCACCTCAGATTCCTCGACATCAACCGACCACTACCCACAGGACATAGGATCTCCTCGCCCAATAGTTGTATTGGTGTTCCAAAACCTACAAGGATTTTATCTTTAAAAGAATACTAACTACAAGAACATGTGCTTGTTAATAGATAATACCCAATGGCATACTTCTAGAAATTTCTGCAAGATTAATCTGAACTATGACCTATAAAATTAACCCCTTATAAAACGGTACCCATCTATCATGATTATTTCTTCAACAGGTGTTTCTAAAAGTTGAACCTGGATTGTAAAGGCACCTGTTTAAAATGAACAGTATCGAAAGAGACATTTCTAAAGGTATATACATGTGATTTAAAAGAGACAATTTTTACAATTCAAGTCACAGTGTTTTACAGAAAGGTGTTTTACTGTATATGAAATAATTAAATTCTGTAACACAGAAAATCTCAATAGGAATTGTAGCTAGATTCCTGCCGATTTGTTATCGACATATTAACATTAAGTGATTATTATGAAGCTTAATTAACCCCACGACTGACTTACCTTAATTTCTATCTCAGCAGGTAATTAAATTCCAGTAAGCATGTTAATCACAGGTTTATTAAGTGTGTAGTACCATATTTTGCCACTTTATGACAAAAGCTGTTAGGCCGAGCCATCAACCCGTCACCTCCACCATCATTAATGATCCATTAAACAGCCAACTCAGCAATCTCCATAACACCACGTACAGCTCTACAATTTTTCACAAAATTGTTTAAAAACAAAACCCTGGCGACAGGACTTTTACAAAATAAAATCCACGAATGAGGAAATATGAAGAATTTTAAAGGAAATAAATAGACTGAGGGATTTTTTTTTCTCTAGATATAAAGAAATCTGTTGATGCACCTGTGTTTCTGTTATACACTATCCATATAGCTTTCCGTAAATTACTACAGTTATTGTAAGGGGGGCCGTCTATCCCACAGGTGCTAGCTACCTACTGGGTTAATCTGCCTGTGCTACAATATATATACCAGGTTACGGCCCTGTGTGTATACACTACTGGTAGTGTCAGCAGAGTGCCAGGTAGGTAATACAAAACCAGCAAGTACATTAGTACCTAGATTTATACATCTATTGATGTAGGTGTCAACCTGTCTATAAAGGACAGATGCTAATGTCCAATTACCTCATACAACCTGTCTATAAAGGACAGTACCCAGTGTCCCATTACCTTAGATAACCTGTCTATAAAGGACAGTATCCAGTGTCCAATTACCTCAGACAACCTGTCTATAAAGGACAGTACGCAGTGTCCAATTACCTCAGACAACCTGTATATAAAGGACAGTACCCAATGTCCCATTACCTCAGATAACCTGTCTATAAAGGACAGTAATTAGAGTTCCATTACCTCAGATAACCTGTCTATAAAGGACAGTATCCAGTGTCCCATTACCTCAGACAACCTGTCTATAAAGGACAGTACCCAATGTCCCATTACCTCAGATAACCTGTCTATAAAGGACAGTACCCAATGTCCCATTACCTCAGACACCTGTCTAAAAAGGACAGTATCCTGTGTCCCATTACCTCAGACAACCTGTCTAAAAAGGACAGTACCCAGTGTGCCAATACATCAGACAATCTGTCTATAAAGGACAGTATCCAGTGTGCCATTACCTCAGATAATCTGTCTATGAAGGACAGTATCCAGTGTCCCATTACCTCAGACAACCTGTGTATAAAGGACAGTACCGTTTGTCTCATTACCTCAGACAACCTGTCTATAAAGGACAGTATCCAGTGTCCCATTACCTCAGACAATCTGTCCATAAAGGACAGTATCCAGTGTTCCATTACCTCAAACAACCTGTCTATTAAGGACAGTATCCAGTGTCCCATTACCTCAGACAACCTGTCTATAAAGGACAGTATCCAGAGTCACATTACCTCAGACAACTTGTCTATTAAGGACAGTATCCAGTTTCCAATTACCTCAGACAACCTGTCTATAAAAGGACAGTACCCAGTGTGCCAATACCTCAGACAACCTGTCTATAAAGGACAGTATGCAGAGTCCCATTACCTAAAACAACCTGTCTATAAAGGACAGTACCCAGTGTGCCAATACCTCAGACAACCTTCCTATAAAGGACAGTACCCAATGTCCAATTACCTCAGACAATCTGTCTATAAAGGACAGTACCGAATGTCCCATTACCTCAGATAACCTGTCTATAAAGGACAGTACCCAATGTCCCATTACCTCAGACACCTGTCTAAAAAGGACAGTATCCAGTGTCCCATTACCTCAGACAACCTGTCTATAAAGGACAGTACCCAGTGTGCCAATACATCAGACAATCTGTCTATAAAGGACAGTATCCAGTGTCCCATTACCTCAGGTGTCCCATTACCTCAGACAACCTGTCTATAAAGGAAAGTATCCAGTGTCCCATTACCTCAGACAACCCCCATTACCTCAGACAACCTGTCTAAAAAGGACAGTACCCAGTGTGCCAATACATCAGACAATCTGGCTATAAAGGACAGTATCCAGTGTCCCATTACCCCAGACAACCTGTCTATACAGGACAGTATCCAGAGTCCAATTACCTCAGATAACCTGTCTATACAGGACAGTATCCAGTGGGCCATTACCTCATACAACCTGTCTATAAAGGACAGTATCCAGTGTTCCATTAATAAAGGACAGTACCGTTTGTCTCATTACCTCAGACAACCTGTCTATAAAGGACTGTATCCGGTATCCCATTACCTCAGACAACCTGTTTATAAAGGACAGTATCCAGTATCCCATTACCTCAGACAACCTGTCGATACAGGACAGTATCCAGTGTCCCATTACCTCAGACACCCTGTCTATACAGGACAGTATCCAGAGTCTAATTCCCTCAGATAACCTGTCTATACAGGACAGTATCCAGTGGGCCATTACCTCATACAACCTGTCTATAAAGGACAGTATCCAGTGTTCCATTACCTCAAACAACCTGTCTATTAAGGACAGTATCCAGTGTCACATTACCTCAGACATAAAGTACAGTACCCAATGTCCCATTACCTCAGACACCTGTCTAAAAAGGACAGTATCCAGTGTCCCATTACCTCAGACAGCCTGTCTATACAGGACAGTATCCAGTGTCCCATTACCTCAGACAGCCTGTCTATACAGGACAGTATCCAGAGTCTAATTACCTCAGATAACCGGTCTATACAGGACAGTATCCAGTGTCCCATTACCTCAGACACCCTGTCTATACAGGACAGTATCCAGAGTCTAATTACCTCAGATAACCGGTCTATACAGGACAGTATCCAGTGTCCCATTACCTCAGACAGCCTGTCTATAAAGGACAGTACCCAGTGTGCCAATCCATCAGACAATCTGTCTATAACGGACAGTATCCAGTGCCCCATTACCTCAGACAACCTGTATATAAAGGACAGTATCCAGTGCCCCATTACCTCAGACAACCTGTCTATAAAGCAGTGTCCCATTCCCTTAGATAACCTGTCTATAAAGGACAGTATCCAGTGTCACATTACCTCAGACATAAAGTACAGTACCCAATGTCCCATTACCTCAGACACCTGTCTAAAAAGGGCAGTATCCAGTGTCCCATTACCTCAGACAACCTGTCTATAAAGGCCAGTATCCAGTATCCAATAACCTCAGACAACCTGTCTATAAAGGACAATATCCAGAGTCCAATTACCTCAGATAACCGGTCTATAAAGGACAGTATCCAGTGTCCCATTACCTCAGACAACCTGTCTATAAAGGACAATATCCAGAGTCCAATTACCTCAGATAACCGGTCTATAAAGGACAGTATCCAGTGTCCCATTAGCTCAGACAACCTGTCTATTAAGGACAGTATCCAGTGTCACATTACCTCAGGCAGCATGTCTATAAAGGACAGTATCCAGTTTCCCATTACCTCAGACAACCTGCCTATAAAGGACAGTATCCAGTGTCCCATTACCTCAGATAACCTGTCTATAAAGGACAGTATCCAGTGTCACATTACCTCAGACAACCTGTCTATAAAGGACAGTATCCAGTATCCCATTACCTCAGACAACCTGTCGATACAGGACAGTATCCAGTGTCCCATTACCTCAGATACCCTGTCTTTAAAGGACAGTATCCAGTGTCCCATTACCTCAGATACCCTGTCTATAAAGGACAGTATCCAGTGTCACATTACCTCAGACAACCTGTCTATAAAGGCCAGTATCCAGTATCCAATTACCTCAGACAACCTGTCTATAAAGGACAATATCCAGAGTCCAATTCCCTCAGATAACCGGTCTATAAAGGACAGTATCCAGTGCCCCATTACCTCAGACAACATGTCTATAAAGGACAGTATCCAGTGTCACATTACCTCAGACAACCTGTCTATTAAGGACAGTATCCAGTGTCACATTACCTCAGGCAGCATGTCTATAAAGGACAGTATCCAGTTTCCCATTACCTGAGACAACCTGCCTATAAAGGACAGTATCCAGTGTCCCATTACCTCAGACATCCTGTCTATAAAGGACAGTATCCAGTTTCCCATTACCTCAGACAACCTGTCTATAAAGGACAGTATCCAGTATCCAATTACCTCAGACAACCTGTCTATAAAGGACAATATCCAGAGTCCAATTACCTCAGATAACCGGTCTATAAAGGACAGTATCCAGTGCCCCATTACCTCAGACAACCTGTCTATAAAGGACAGTATCCAGTGTCACATTACCTCAGACAACCTGATCCAGTGTCCCAGTATCCAGTTTCCTCTGTCTATAAAGGACAGTATCCAGTGTCCCATTACCTCAGACAACCTGTCTATTAAGGACAGTATCCAGTGTCACATTACCTCAGACAGCATGTCTATAAAGGACAGTATCCAGTGTCCCATTACCTCAGACAACCTGTCTATAAAGGACAGTATCCAGTGTCCCATTACCTCAGATACCCTGTCTTTAAAGGACAGTATCCAGTGTCCCATTACCTCAGACCTGTCTATAAAGGACAGTACCCTGTATCCCACTACCTCAGACAACCTGTCTATTAAGGACAGTACCCAGTATCCCATTACCTCAGACAACCTGTCTATTAAGGACAGTATCCGGTATCCCATTACCTCAGACATCCTGTCTATAAAGGACAGTATCCAATGTCCCACTACCTCAGACAACCTGTCTATTAAGGACAGTATCCGGTATCCCATTACCTCAGACATCCTGTCTATAAAGGACAGTATCCAGTTTCCCATTACCTCAGACAACCTGTCTATAAAGGACAGTATCCAGTGTCCCATTACCTCAGACAACCTGTCTATTAAGGACAGTATCCGGTATCCCATTACCTCAGACATCCTGTCTATAAAGGACAGTATCCAGTTTCCCATTCCCTCAGACAACCTGTCTATAAAGGACAGTATCCAGTGTCCCATTACATAAGACAACCAGTCTATAAAGGACAGTATCCATTGTCCCATTACCTCAGACAACCTGTCTATTAAGGACAGTATCCAGCATAAAGGCCAGTATCCAGTATCCAATAACCTCAGACAACCTGTCTATAAAGGACAGAATCCATTGTCCCATTACCTCAGACAACCTGTCTATTAAGGACAGTATCCAGCGTCCAATACCTCAGAAAACCTGTGTATAAAGGAGAGTACTCTGCATCCCGTTACATCAGACAACCAGTCTATAAAGGACAGTATCCATTGTCCCATTACCTCAGACAACCTGTCTATAAAGGACAGTATCCAGTGTCCCATTACCTCAGACAATCTGTCTATAAAGGACAGTATCAAGTGTCCCATTACCTCAGACAACCTGTCTATAAAGGAGAGTACTCTGCATCCCATTACATCAGACATGTCCCATTACCTCAGACAACCTGTCTATAAAGGACAGTATCACAACCTGTCTATAAAGGAGAGTTCTCTGCATCCCATTACATCAGACAACCAGTCTATAAAGGACAGTATCCAGTGTCCCATTACCTCAGACAACCTGTCTATTAAGGAGAGTACTCTGCATCCCATTACATCAGACAACCTGTCTATAAAGGACAGTATCCTGCATCCCATTACCTCAGACAACCTGTCTATAAAGGACAGTATCCTGCATCTCATTACCTCAGACAACCTGTCTATAAAGGACAGTACTCTGCATCCCATTACCTCAGACAACCTGTCTATAAAGGACAGTACCCTGCATCCATTTACCTCAGACAACCTGTCTATAAAGGACAGTACCCTGCATCCCATTACATCAGACAACCTGTCTATAACAGGCATCCATGTTGTTCTTTTTTCCCCAGATCACTGTTTTGCTTATTTCATCTTTATTATTTCTCATAAAGTCCCACAAGGTATGTTTTATTTTCTATTTTTCAGAAATGAATTATTTAAGCTATAGTCATGCCGGAAATAACAGTTTCCAGTACATAACTTAGGTTTTGGTAGTGGTACGAGGCTCTTTAAATACAAACACACATTCCCTAATATTTTTTCTGTCTCATCATTTGAGTATAAAAGTTTTGAGCTCAGATCGCTATGGTCATCATCTTATCATCTACACAATCTAAATTCATTAAACCAGACATATTGATGATATAATCTAACTTACTGAATACTATAAAACAACGATAAAATGTCTACACACTCTCCCTGCCGACTGTCTGAAACAATAAAAACATTAACCTATTTCCTCTTTGGTTTGGGAAACGGTACACATTAATCTGTTACACACAGGTGTTGATATACATTGTATGCATGCAAGTAATTATTTAATTTTCTCCTTAAAAATCATACCACACAACTTTGATGTTGTTAATATATTTCCTAATTTTTAAAAACATATTTCATTCATTACAAGCACCTGGAACAGGTTTCCATTTTGCACGCAGAAAACGCAGAAAATTCACCGAGGAATCCAAATACATTACACTGGTACATTACCAACCGAAACATTTCACCACTCAGTAAAATACATTCTTCAACGAACCATTTACTTGCCACGACCTTTGTAAAAGTAACGAAACACCCAAATATATAATTGTTCAGGTTTTGAGTATAATGTTTTTAACTGTCGGACGCGAGTACTGGCAGCGGACTGGTGGTACATGCTTTGGTTATCTCTACAACAGAGATCTGAGGCAGAAGTCATGCATGCTTTTTAATGACACCTCAATTTGTCTACATTGAGCGGAAATTAATCATGAAGGTGGGTTTCTTGTTTCCCCCATATGATTCAGTGTCTGTAATCATGAGTTAATGACTCTTACTAAGATAGGGTGTAGCTTCCCTATTAAGTTTTCTGATAAACTAAAGGTCAAGGTCACCTGCTACCAATAGGAGACAAAAAGAATTCTAATTATGCAGTGATTGTAATTATGAGTTTATGACTCTTACTCAGATAGGGTGTAGCTTTCCTATTAAGTTGTCTGATTAACTAAAGGTCAAGGTCACTTCCCCCCCCCCCCCCCCCCCCCCCAAAAAAAGGGAGAAAAAACACCTAAATAATGCAGTGATTGTAAGTATAGGTTTAAGTCTACACTTAGATAGAGTTTTTGAAAGGCGTTAACTGAAGAAATATCTTTGAGTGTTTGACCTTATCACCGAGTAATAGTAATTATGGCTTTATGACTGCACTGAGATAAGGTGTAGCTTTCCTAATTAGTTGTCCGTTTAACTAAAGGTCAAGGTCACTGCTGTAAAAAAGAAGGGAATCAGTAAAACTGATGCCTTAAGCTCCCCGTAAATGTCATTAGGAATGGAATGAAGGTTATGTGTTACATTTGAACTGTTGACCTTTGAACTTAATGAGAATCTTACCTTGGATACACTGACCCCAAAATGATATGCAACACATCCTTGCCATTCTACATGTTTCTATTAAATTTCATAGAACTTTCTTTAATTCAATTCATGAAAATGAATTTGACCTTCAACCTCAATCTGGCTTTGACCTTGGGCATTCAGATCAAAAAGCTGTACGTGCACACCATCCTGTCATCCTGCATGTATCCCTATAAGTTCATGAAGCCATCTAGATCAGTGAGTTAAGATATCACCTGGACAATGTATTTGACCTGTGACCTCAAAGTGACCTTGACTTTGGGCATACAGACCCAAAAGTGGTAGGCGACACAAAGCCTTGCCATCCTTTATATATATCCCTAAACTTTCATTAAGTTACAGTATCTTCTGAAGTCAGAAGAAATGGCCTGGACAATATATTAGACCATTGACCTCATGAGACCTTGACCTTAGCATACAGGCCCATAAGTGGTCAGATGGACAGAGCACCAACTTTATGCTACCCAAATCAATTTTCAGGGAGCATAAAAACACCATGGAAAGCACTTATTCTCATCACAGGTTAAGACTACCCTTTCCCCTTAAAATTCAGTGATTTTAATCAAATGTTTATGACTTCATAGATTTCTAATTAGATGTCCAAGTTATCGAAAGACAAGGTCAGAAGCCAAGGTCACGCAAGGTCACTGCCCAAATAACACAGTGGGCTTCTGTCCATCATAACTTAAATATATAATAATATATATCATACATTTTATTGCTGATGTGGTTTTTGATTGGCTGATATTGGCTGTAACTTCCCACGAATTTCTCATAGGTCATAGGTCAAGGTCACTACTCTCTAAAGTGACTATCATAATCATCTCTTGGATACCTGCAATCTGATCCGTTCACACCTAACACAAGCTGCAGAACAAAAGCAGTTAAAATATCAACAATACTCTCTAAGTCTGTAACACTCATAAATGAAAGCATTATTTACTTGAAAATAAACACAAACAACATAAAATTGTTTCAAAAATATTTTCCCTACTTTAAGTTTGTATTTTGGTGTATGTGTTGTTAGGTGGGGTGGGAGGTATGTTGTGTGTTAATTGCATACCATATTTATACTTCAATAAGCCCAGGGTGCCAATGACATAATCTCCCACTCTAAATTGGAAGGTGGGCTTATTATAGGATAACAAAATAGCATTTATTGACATTGAATTAAACTGCAATATAAATGGGTAGGTTATTACCAGGCATGGGCTTATTGCAGGATAAAAACGGTAATTCTGAAAGAGTTGCCATAAACCTTAGCACATGGAAGACTGGAATGATCACAAAACATGTACCTTTAAAGGAAAGGCTAGATATTTAAGGTTAATTAAAGACGGATAAAAACAACCTTTTTTTTTGCACATTGCAGCTAAACCTAGATTTACTGACACTAAGTGGAAATGTTATTTTTGATCAGATAAGACAGTGTGTCTGTACGCTAGGGTCTTATACAGACAATCAAGACTAGTTTTTCATATAAGGAGTTTAAACTTCTAATTAATTTCGGATATAACTAAAGTGCAACTGGGACAAAGTACTACCAGTGACCCGTCGAGGTCAAGAGTTCAAATCCTGTCCTGGTCCATTTCATTTTAATACAAAACCACTGTTGCTGACTTTCATTTCAACTTAATGAAATGTTTCATAAAAGATCTGCAAGATATGTTTCCTATTTTCAAAGCTACGTACAGTTTCAGAAAAAGAAATTTCCAATACATAGTTACAATTTTTGACAGTGGTGCACAGACCTAAACTGAGTTACCTCCTATAAAAATAGCCTTTTGATTATACTGTATAGGGAAATATCCTCAAGTAGAAATTGTTTGTAAAATATACATATATACTCCTGCTTTGATGGAAATGGAGCTGAATGCAAATTCCGACAAATGTCAGTCAAGCAGAAAATATAGGTCACAGTGACCTACATCTGATATATTAGTGTATATAAGTGCTCTTTCCAATGCATCTACATATAATATTTAATCCGGATATTACACAGATTGATCATTACAATGTGGACATCAAGGCGGCCTCTTAACACAGGTGGTCACTTAATAGAGGTTCAAATCACAAACAAATTACTACAATTGGGACACTAAGGTGGTCTCTTAACACAGGTTGTCTATTAGTAGAGGTTTATTTCACAAAGAAATCACTACAACAGGTATATTTAACTGGTCTCTTAACATAGGTGGTCTCTTAGTAGAAGTTTAGTTCACAATTAAATCACTATAATAGGGACACCAATGTGGTCTCTTAACACAGGTGGTCTCTGAATGGAGGTTCAGTTTACAAAGGAAACCACTGTATTTGGAACATTAAGAACAGGTGATCTCTTAACACAGGTGGCCTCTTAACACAGGTGGTATCTTAACACAGGTGGCCTCTTAACACAGATGGTCACTTAACACAGCAGGTGGTCTCTAAACACAGGTGGCCTCTTAACACAGGTGGTTCCTTAACACACGTGGCCTCTTCACACAGATGGTCACTTAACACAGCAAGTGGTCTCTTAACACAGGTGGCCTCTTAACACATGTGGTCCCCTAACACAGGTGGCCTCTTAACACAGGTGGTCACTTG